CCCTACCCTACCCTACCCTACCCTACCCTACCCTACCCTACCCTACCCTACCCTACCCTACCTTACCCTACCCTACCCTACCCTACCCTACCCTACCCTACCCTACCCTACCCTACCCTACCTTACCCTACCCTACCCTACCCTACCCTACCCTACCCTACCCTACCCTACCTTACCCTACCCTACCCTGCCTCACTATGCCCTACCACATCATTTTTTCCATCTCCGCCTAGTCGCACTTCAAACTACTCACTATCTACCCCACCTTACCTCCTTTCTATACCATAATTTTTCTAGCCATACCTGAAGTATACCATACTCTACAGTACACAGACTTCCTATCTTACCTACCGCTCAATATCTTAATATTAAAATGAGCATGCCGCCTTTTTAAAACCCATAGATTTCAATAAACCGGAAGTGTGTAATCAGGTATATTTGATGGGATTTGATAGTTAATGTCTTTATTTTAAAGATTAACAGATAAAAGTGTTATCTCAACTTGATAAGTTTCGTATTCAATAAGACCAATCTAGAGGGGATTAAAGTGGCTAATTTTGTAAATGTATATCCAATGTTTTTGAAGTTTAACCAAAAAAACCTGTTTGAAAATAAAAATAATTAAAATGCCTAAATCTAAAATCCAAAGCATAGGCTTAAGTTTCAATTTAAAAGCAATTTTCTAAGCCTGATGACTAAGTCCAGAAATTTATGCCTAGACCCCGAGTTTATACCCAAACATAGGCCTAAAGCCTAAGGATAGCAGCCTAAGATTAGAAAGCTAAGCGGAAAAGAGTAAGTCTAGACGCCTAAGCCTAAACCTATAAGCATAAAGCTAAAACTAAAAACCTGAGCTTAAGCCTCGAAACCTAAGCCTAAGCTTAAACCTAAGCCTAGAAGCCTAAGCCTAGAAGCCTAAGCCTAAGAATCTATCACAGAAGCCTAAACCTAAAAGCAAAAGCCTAGAATTCTGAGCAAACAAGCTTAAGCCTAAGCCTAAAAGCCTAAGCCTTGAAGTCTAGAAACCTAGAAGCCTAAGCCTAAACCCAGAAGCATAAGCCTATTCGCCTAAGCCTAAAAGCTTAAGTCTAAAAGCCTCAGTCAAAGCCTAAACCCAAACCTAAGTCCAAGCAAAAGGCTAAGATTAAACCGAATTCTAATCTTAAATTTAAACCGAAAAATTAATTTAAAGCAGAATTTAAATTTTCAGTTTTAAAAAACTTAACATGTAACTCACTCATTTAGCGTGGTTTTTCCGTTCGCACTGAATAAACCTATTAGACCATTTTTACAGCAAAAAAAACTGTTTGAAACACTGTAAAAACCTTTAATTCACAAAACTTTTTTCCAAAACATCACGTCAGGCGTAATTTTAAAATTGCACAACTTTCAAATTTCAAAAAATTTCGAAAAAATCAAACACCTAGACTTAAGCCTAACATAAACAATTCTTTGTTAAAAAATGACACCCCTATAACATAACAATCCTATGAAAATGTAAAATCTCGTTGTAAAGCCGCAAGAAACGGACCCAAAATCCGTTTGTAAATACGAAACAATTAAAGGTAAAAGCTGTTGGAAATAACAGGGAAAAGATTGGGTTGTAAATTACTCCAATTCGGCGGGTTTTTCGTGTATAAAACCGTTTTTTTGTCGCTCGCTCTCAAACGGTTTGGAGCGGCGCCAAAGACGTAAAAATGCTTACAGATATCAGTCCTGCCCTACCTTACCCTTACCTTTAGTGAACTTTCTTCACATCAAAAGTAAAAATAGTGTATTTATAAAAAATCGACTGGTCGATATTTTTTAATATTTATATTTTTTTACTAATCCCTCTACTTCTATTTTCTTGGCCTTGCCCTAGCCCAGAGCCCTAGCCCAGAGCCCTAGCCCAGAGCCCTAGCCCAGAGCCCTAGCCCAGAGCCCTAGCCCAGAGCCCTAGCCCAGAGCCCTAGCCCAGAGCCCTAGCCCAGAGCCCTAGCCCAGAGCCCTAGCCCAGAGCCCTAGCCCAGAGCCCTAGCCCAGAGCCCTAGCCCAGAGCCCTAGCCCAGAGCCCTAGCCCAGAGCCCTAGCCCAGAGCCCTAGCCCAGAGCCCTAGCCCAGAATCCTAGCCCAGAATCCTAGCCCAGAGCCCTAGCCCTAGCCCTAGCCCTAGCCCTAGCCCTAGCCCTAGCCCTAGCCCTAGCCCTAGCCCTAGCCCTAGCCCTAGCCCTAGCCCTAGCCCTAGCCCTAGCCCTAGCCCTAGCCCTAGCCCTAGCCCTAGCCCTACCCTTGCCCTAGCCCTAGCCCTAGCCCTAGCCCAGAGCCCTATCCTGTTCTACTCTACCCAACACTATTTTGTCCTTTTTTACCTTCCCTAACAATACTTTGCCTTTTTCTTACCCAACCCTAGCCTTAGCCCTTCCTTGTCGTTTCCTGTCCTAACCTACATACCTTTGACATCTCTCGCTCTCTTTTATCATGCCCTACTGTACACAAAAGCCCTAACTCTAGTCTCAGATCCAGGCCCACCTCCAATCATAGTCTTATGTCTCAGATCTAAGCTTAAATCAATCCAAGCTCCAATTAGAAAGTTAAAAACTAAGCAAAATTGACAGCCCTGGACCAATGTGAACTAAAACAAGGTAATCCCATTTCAGACAGAACCCAATTCCACGCCCATTGTAATTGGCATTACATTGAACAAATCCTGTTATAAACAAGCGTGAAAAGTACAGTTTTAAATTTTGAACTTTTTAAAAACAAACAAGTTTAACTACAGTGTAATAGTCTCTACTGCGTAGCAGCTACTGAGTAAATTTTGGTATGTTTCGAAATTTAAGCAACGTTTCAATGAAAAAACTTTACCCTACCCTATAATACCCTTAACTAATTAAAATTTTAAAAAATTTTGGTTTTATTTAAACCAAATAAAGTCTTGACGCCAATTTACATGGAAAACAACTATAAAAAACGACAAAACTTTTGTTTAACCTAATGAATTGCTCAGTTCAACTTAAATTTGATGTTTTAGGTTTTATTGACTTAAAATGACTCTTGATTGTTTATTGAAACCATTAAATTGTTTGGCAAACATTGTTTTACAATACTAACAACCCTTTTAAAAAAAATTAAAAATTATAAAAATATTATTTTACTCCTAAATTTTACCCTATCCCATCCTACGTCATCCAACGGTACTTTACCTTACCATACCCTACTTTTAAATTGTATTATACGTACTAAAAAGCAACTTGATATCTTGCACAGTGCAATAATTTATCCATTGCACAGTGCGCTTTAACATTTTTACACTGTTGCACCGTGCGGTCTTAAAATGTTTGCACAATGCAAAAAGAAAGTTAGTTTTAAAGTGTTTTAAATGCTGTAAAATGACTTTTAATATTATTTTAAGTATCTGGCAATGCTGATTTTGAATAAAAAAGCAATTTTAAAAAAATTAAAATTTTTGAAAAAAAAATTTTTTTTTATTTTCATTTTTATTTACAACGCGTTATAAACGCATTTTTTACTCCGTAAGATACCACTCAAACCCAATATGTGGGTTAGGCGGCTGGTTGGGTCATAATCTGGGCTTTTCTTGCTCTATTTGATCCGTCGCTTGTTCAGACGCGCGCTGGAACGGTTTATAGACAATTTTTATACTATAATATATTATTAATAATTTAAATTAATATTGTTATGCTTTTCTAGCTTTATTTTCTTATAAAAACGCGTTTTTAACTTAAAAAAGACAAAGATTTGAATATCTGCGTATAACATTGGTTTGTTCCAACTGCGCCCGCGTTGTGAAGCTGTATCAGCTTGGTTCTGACAAAAAACTGTCGAGGTCATCGACCACATGGGCCAAAACTAAATTCTTCTCAATCTTCAGTCACTTTTTTTTTGTTTACCAAACAGCTGAGGTCAAAAAATATTGTCCATCTTACCAAAATCCTGTTTTTCATCAAGAAACTGTACTATATTTTAGGTTTATCTCAAATTACAAGCTGTAACTGGACGAAATCATGTTTTACAATAAACAAACAGAGTTTTTCAGGTTAGAATTAGTCGGTGCAAAGTCAAAAACGTTTGAAAAATGATAAATTTTGGAGGATCTTGCCGTTGGCACGCGTTAATCGAGGAAAAATCGAAAATTTTGGTTGATTTTCGCGCGTTTTCGAATTTCACGTCGATTTTTCGTAGAATTTGATTGGATGTGTTGGATATTTATAAAGTTGAGGGGTTTACAATATATTTAGAATGGTTATCTTGAAGCGTTTTGGTTTTTTGCTACGATTTTGGCATGTTTTTAAGGGTGGTATGAGAGGTGGTTGATGTTGTTTATGTTCAACGCGTCGTGCTGAATGTATTTGACGGTTTATTGGCGTATGATTGTTTTTGTAAGTTAGGTTATAGACTGTTAAGCTTATTTTTATTAAAAATTTGGTGTAGATTGGTCAATTTAGCAAGTTTTTACATTAATTTGATCAACCACTACCAGATACCATGGTGAAGATAGTTTTTGATCGAATTGACTTATAAAACTAAAATTTTCTTAACTATTGACAATTTTATATTATAGACAAGATTTTACTCTATTGTTTGACATTAAATTCACTTTGCTTTACAGAGTTTTAGTTTCTCTACGACCTAATGCATTTTATATTATCTTAGGTGTTCTGCAAGAATGTTTGAACAGCCGAGTTTGAATGACCTGCTTGGTTTTTGTTATTTAACCATTCTTTTAATGTTTATGAGGTATTTTTTGGTTTTTACGTGAAAGTACTTTACTTTCGAAGTCTCTTATATTGATCTTTCAGCGCGCCAAATAAGTTGGGTTCAAGTTGCGTTCATCTTATTCTTGATTTGTGTTTATTTTAGCGTCCATTTTGACTTTAGCATATTATAATTTGTTTTTTCTTGAACATACGCGTTTTCTGTTGCTATTACATATGGTTTTGATTATAAGTTTTGATGTTTAACATGAAAAATTTTAGAAAATGTCTGTCCAGGTAGCAATGATTGGGGCTACGTTGAACAAGGAAAACATGACGGACATGACTAAGTTTTATTGCTCCGCTCGTTCTGATCTCTATATGACGCCCAGCTCGTCGACCGGCTCGTTGAACTCGTTATTTTGTCGTATTTGCCACATGAGTAATGATGAACTGATTCGGCCATGTCGATGTGATGGAAGTGTAAGTTAATATTGTTTTTTCCGGACAAGTGGGGATTGAACACAGTCAATTATGATTGTAATTTGATTGTTAGGAGTTTGAGGTTGGTTTACGTATAAGGTGAGCTAGAATTGTGGTTTGGTTGAGATGATATGAGCTGTTATATTACTTTAGCCACTATGGTGTTGTAGGTTCGACTTTAAGTTAACGTATCTTCTTCTAAGCTATCAGTTTGGAGTTATACATTAACTGAAAACGTTAAGGTTGTTCTTAGGCTTATTTTAAGTTCAAATTCTTCAAATTGTGCGGCTTGGTTCACGACGAATTATATTACCATAGACATCACATTTTTCTTTTTTCAGATTGGTCATGTACATACACAATGCCTGGACAGATGGGTCAAGTTGTCCGAATGTAATCATTGCCAAGTGTGTAAGACACGATATGCACGATCATTACCAAAGCTAAAGCCATTGGCACAATGGGAACGACCAACTTGGTCGCTAATAGTCGGGGTAGGTCACGGTTAATATGTTTATGCTTTGAATGTGATATTAGGATGACTTTTGAGTTTTTAGGTTGATTTGGAATGTCATTTTAGTTAAATTTTTATTCATAAAAGGTTTTAAAAATTTTTATTTTTTGCACGGTGCAAGTGTCAAAAATTGTTGCATGGTGCAGGCCTTTTTTGAAGTTGAATACTGTAACGGCTGAAGGTTATAATGGTCTGTTAGTGTGTTAGATAATTAATAATAGGCGTGTTAAAACAGTTTATTATGTTGAAATTACAATTTTTTTTGGTGATTTTTAATGAATTTTTGAAATTTTCTGCACGGTGCAAGCGCTAATAGTCGTTGCACTGTGCAGACTTTTTTTGAAGTTTATTGACTTTTAAAATTGAAATTAAAGAAAAATGATGTCATTTATAATAAGATATGGATTTTTTACTTTTTTAAATCTAAAAAATTTTAAAATTTCGAATATTTAAAACTTTATTGTTGCCTAATTTCAGGTGATTTTGATCTTCCTCCTACTCAGTTATCACATATACGCTTTGTACCATTCCTGCACGAGTGGTGCCATCAACACGACACACCTTATTGTCTACATTTCGATGCTCACGGTGGACCAGGTGGTACTATTGGGAATGCTGGCTCTATACCTATCAGGCCAAACGGTCACGGTTTTTACGAATCGAAGAGGAGTATCGACCGGTAAGAAGCTAACAAAGGCGGAGGAAGCAGTACCAAAGGTCTAGGATATCATTTGTTACAATAATTTTGTAGTATTTTACTTTGGTTCAAACGGTACTTGGTACTGTACTAAGAGTTTTACTGTACGATACTAAGGGTGGTACAGTACTTTATTTTATTAGTACTATTTAACTTATTGTAATATGAGCTACAGTACGACTCACGGGTAGTAATGACGCTTTAAATTTGATTTACGAGTATATTCCGATCAATATCTCATCATTTTGTACTAAGTATCTACTACAATATATCACTATCTTATCAAATCTATATTCACTTTGCCTTTATATATTAGAACTTGATCTGAATCACTTTTTTGTTGTTTAAAAGCCTATGTTAAGGGATGGTAACTTTAAAATGGACTAAAATTTGGTGTAAGTTACAGTAATGTGGCATAAAATAAAAGGAGGGGTACTGTAGGATACTATAGTATTTTTTTCAAGAATTTAGGCCAAATTATTGTAAATTGCTTTTTTATAATATTTTGAAGCTAGTATTTGCCTTTTTAGTATTTTTTCAATAATCCGACTGTTGTTTGTGATATGAGTCCATTATGTTTGTATATGTACGTCTATTTTGTAGTTGGATTGTCACGGTAATTTGCATAAAATGCTCTGAAATAAAAAGTTGTAATACTTGATATTGGGCTTTTTGTGCTTTATTCAAATTTTGGTGGTAGAAATTTAAGTTTTAAAATTCGCGCCGTGCAACGCCCTTTAGTGTTTGCACTGTGCAGAAAATTTCAAAAAGTTATAAAATATTTTTAAATTTCGAAATTTAAATTTTGACTATATATAATATGTTGTTTGAACGATGATTTCTATTGTTCTAACGTTCTAAAACACTACTCTGATTTGTACTTTTTTTTATTATTTAAGTTCAAAAGAATTGCACTGTGCAACAACCTTTAGCGGTTGCACCGTGTAAAAATTTTTTAATTCTAATATTGGCATGATATATTGTTTTAGCACAGCGATTTCTATGGTTTTAACGTTCTAAGATACTACTATGACTTTTGAAAATACTTGCACTGTGCAGAAATTTTCAAAAAATCATAAAAAGTTTTTAAATTTTAAAATTTTTTGACTTGATATATTGTTTTAGCATGACTGTTTCTAATGTTCTAACGTTCTAGAACACCGCTGTGACTTGTAATTTTTTGTTATTTAACTTTAAAAAAACTTACACCGTGCAAATATTATAGATAAAGTCAACTTTGTTTTGTTTTTAATTGAAATATATAGTCAAATATGGACAATACTAATGGGTCTAGATTAGTATTTTAGTATTGAGTTAGATATTGAGTCTAATCTTACTTATTTTTGATACTTTCCAACTGGAAAGGTCATGGATAATATAAAACTCAAAAATTCCAAGCCAAACCTAAACTAATGGCCGACCAGTGTTATCACCAGCCCAACCATAACCCAATAGTCAATTAATTTGCAAATTGTACGAGATTTTACGAGTTTCGCCTTCAGGGCATGACGTCGGGATCCCCAAATCCCAGAGAAGATTTCATCCACCCCAAACTTAATTAATTCGGACAAAAAGTTTTGGCACTGGTGTTTGGAGTATAGTATATTATATTGCTTTTTGGCCAAGAATAGTAAAAATTACCTTATTAAGCGGGTTTGGTACACTTGGGACCGGTTATATGGCTTGTGGGATGAGTTGATGGGGGTTGGGGAAAATGTGCCATAACTTTTTTGACCGGAGGTGATTTTAGAAAATATTTATGAAATGAAGAGATAATACCTTGAAGCACACGTGCTCAAAATATCATGCATCTACTTCAATGCTAACCTAACCATTTGGAGTTTTAAATAAATATTTTTTAAAAAATCTGGAATAAAAAGAGCTTCCAAAAAACAATGCCATTCTTTAATAGAAATACCAAGCTGGAAACATTTTTTTGGTGTCTTGACAAAAGGATACTGTATCGTACATTTCCTCAAAATTTCATTAACATAGCTTCATATTAAACATGTTAACGAGCTCATCAAACATTACCGTATCAGTTCTTCATGGATAACATGGTTTGATCACTGAAACAAGAGTCAAGTTAACTTTGATGTGGGAGGGGAGGAGATTAACGAATTATACAGTGGGATTGGAATTGGTAAGGTCAGGGTTGAAAGGCAAGGACGATGTAGTAGGGCCGGGCTTGAACATAGTTTTTTGATAGGACTGGTTCACAAAAACAGCAAAGTAGAGTAGGATAGGGTAGTGTAGGGAAGGGTAGGGTAGGGTAGGGTAGGGTAGGGTAGGGTAGGATAGGATAGGATAGGGTAGGGTAGGGTAGGGTAGGGTAGGGTAGGGTAGGGTAGGATAGGATAGGATAGGATAGGGTAGGGTAGGGTAGGGTAGGGTAGGGTAGGGTAGGGTAGGGTAGGGTAGGGTAGGGTAGGGGTAGGGTAGGGTAGGGTAAGGTAGGGTAGGGTAGGGTAGGGTAGGGTAGGGTAGGGTAGGGTAGGGTAGGGTAGGGTAGGGGTAGGGTAGGGTAGGGTAGGGTAGGGTAGGGTAGGGTAGGGTAGGGTAGGGTAGGGTAGGGTAGGGTAGGGTAGGGTAGGGTGATTTCTATATAGGGGCGGGGTAAAGCACAATTTCATACCCTATAGACAATATCCTACTATACTTCTAAACCCCAAGTACAGTGCGCCTCTTAAATTCGTACTCCCATCCCCCCAGAGGGGTTGGCACCCCGCCCGTAAACGAAGTGAGTAAAACTCCTCGAACAGCTGTGGCCGCCCTATAAATTGGGTACGAGTTCGGGCGGCCGAGTCGTTTAGTGTCCGAACGGAGATGAAGCTGTGCATCGTGCTGGCGTTGGTGTTGGTGGGCTGGGTGTGGGCCAGTAGCGACGAGGAAGCCGACCGTTTCAGCCGCACCGACCGCGATTATCGACCGTTGCAGGTGAGGAGGGGTTACTGTTGTTTTTGGGTTTATAAGAGGAAGGTTACTGTAGTTTGGTAGGTTAGGATAGGGTAGAGTACGCTAAAGCAAGGCAAGGTAGGATGTGGTAGGGTAAGGGAGGAGAGGGTAAGTAGAATGGGGTACCGTAGGGTGGGGTAGGTTGAGTTGTAGAGTTAGGTAGAGTTCCATAGGGTACGGTAGGGTTAAGGCGGCTACTGTAGATCTAAAAATCTTAAATTTCTTCAATTGGTAGTCTTGGAGTATATACTGTACATTTTTGAATCAAGCTTACTGTGACTTGAAGCTTTGATCTTACTGTAGTTTTTAAGCAAAAGTGAAGAGTACCCTAAAAAGCAATTTTTTTATTTTTAAGTTTTCGTTACTGTAACACTTAAGTATTATGCAACTTTTTACTTAAGCATACTGTAACGTTTAAGTTCCGTTTACTGTAGTTTTTAAGTTGTGGTCAGTGTAAGTTTTCAATTATAGTTACAGTAACATTTAAATCTAGTTTACAGTAATTTTTTACATAAGGTTACTGTAACGTTTAGCTTTCAACTGTAAGTTTTCAGTTCTAGTTACAGTAACTTTTAAATATAGCTTATTATATTTCAAGGTAAAACCACACTTATAATCAATTCTGCCATGTTATTTTAGTTTGGCAAACGCAGCGACTATCGACCACTGCAGTTCGGGAAGAAAGACAATTATCGACCGTTGCAGTTCGGAAAGCGTGGTGGAATCGTGAATCATTATATCGATCTGCTGCCATTGGATGATTGATCCAAAAATTTTTTTTTGGTTGGACTAGACTAGGCCTTACTGGTACAATCTACCCATTGGAGCGGACATTTGTTACCTAAATTGGTCCTACTGGTCTGTTTGTTCTCTAATTTGGTACTAATAATCTAATTGTTACCTAAATTGGTACTAATAGTCTACTTTTTTCTTAACTTGATCCTAATAGCCTAATTGTTACCTAAATTGGTACTACAGGTCTAGTTGTTATTTAAATTGGTGCTAAAGGTCTATTTGTTACCTAAACTGGTCCTACAGGTCTAACTGTTACCTAAATTGATCCTACTTGTCCATTGTTACCTAGTACTCCAATTTGGCGCTAATGGTACAGTTTAGATAAATAAACTAGTGCCACTACTAATGGTACAGCTTATATGCCTAAACTCCAGTACCTATAACAGTACCATTAGTCCTATACCGAAATTAAGACTATTAGTCAAATATCCAGACAAGTGTCTTTAGTCCAATACCTATAACGGTGTCATTAGTCCTATACCTAAAATAGTACCATTAGTACAATACTCAAAACCACCATTAGTCTATTACCCGAAACCAGTACCATTAGTCCTGCACCCAAAACCAGTGCCATTAGTCCAGTCCACAAACCAACCTTACCAAAGTTAGTGCCCAGAAACCGGTCGGAAGAGCGTCGTTATAGCCCCTCATATTATGTTGTTGTTCTATTGCCTCCCCTCTTGCTTATCTGTGTTTATCTTTGTCTATCTCACACAAATCGTCGTATCACAAAGCGTTTAAACAAAGAATGTCAGTGGATTTCATTTTTCGTAATAAACTTTAATTATTAAGTCGTATTTTATAAATGGAGCTTTGTAAAGGGAAAAATAGGATATTATCCATGATCATGTAAGCTTAAGCTCGAAAACAAGTGATTGTAAGTTAATTATCCATCCAAAAACTTTATAAACCAATTGAAACGGCGAAAGGCGTATTTTACAATCCATTTCAGACGATATATAATCAAAAATTTCAATTTATATTATCCGTGATCATGTAAGTTTAAGCTCGAAAATAAGTCAATCTAAGCTAACTACCCATCCTAAGACTTTATAAGCTAACCAAACAGTGTTCACTCGTATTTTACAATCAACTAAAAACAATACCTAAGCAAAAATTTCACTTTATATTATCCATGACACCAAAGTCTACAAGAACAAAAGAACGCAAAACAAGTTGATTAGAATAACAAATCCCAAATCGAATTAATTACATTGAAATGTTTATCCAAAAATAAAGGCATTTCGTCCCGAATTCAATTTACAATACACTGTTTCGTCAATAACGTGTGTTGTTACCATAACGAACAATGTAATCGCGTACTTTCGATGCGAACAAATCCTGAAAACGGTCAAATTTGATAACCAAAACAAACTGGTTTAACTTATTTATGTCTCGACAAAGTATATTATAGCTGAGTTTCCGTTTTCGAGCTAAACGGCTTGGAACACGTTCGAAAAGCTTTAAAATTGGTAATAAACTTTGCAAAACGACGTGTAAACCTAATTTTTCGTTTAAAAACGTGCAAACATTTGAAGAAACGTCATTTTTAGAGGCTTACTTTGTTAGTATTGTACATCTCAGCCGCAGCTAAATTTAATGCATCGTCGAAGTCCATCAAATCCCCGAACAAACTCTCCAGTCCAAGGATAACATCTTTAATTCCTCGAGTTGGCATCCAACCTAAATTAATATCACAAATATTTTGCTTTAAAACATCATAATTAAACCATTTCAACTTATACTGATGAAAAAAACTTAAAAGACATTACTTCCCAAGAAGTTCGAGAAAAAAACCGAAAATGAGTACCTATTCGATGTATAAATTCATATTTTAGACTGCTTTCGATGTTTTCAAAGCTAGTTTCACAAAAATATTAAAGATGTAAGTCTCATAATAACGTAAAAACATACCCATTCCATCCAGCGAGCTTGGCCGCAACAAACTCAAGCAAACAGCCCCGTCTTCATTAATATTTGGATGCCACATCCTCGTCAAGCACTTCACAACTGGTGGCTAAAAAAAAGCTTATTAAAACAGCTTTCAAACCTTCATACGATTCTTTACTCTTGTTTATAAACATCTTAAGCCAAGACTTTCAACTTTTTACCTAAAACCAGAAAACAATAAAATACATACCACATTGTTGTACTCTGGAGGAACATCGATAGAAAACTGAAAAGTACCGCCTCTGTAAAAGCCACTCGTCGGCTTCACGGTTAGAAGCATTTGATGAAGAGATGAAGTTGAAGGAAATGTCAATTTACAAGTCGGAGCGTTCTTCAGATGCTCCTCGATCTCACGCATCTCCTGCGACAACAACTTGTCTCTGACAGCGATACGAGTGCCCAAATAAGCACGATTCTCATCAATACCCTTAATACGTTTCTGCAGATTCAACATATTTTTACTTTGTCTGAAAATTAGAAGATAACAATAAGTTTTAGCCTTGTTTATAGAATAACTTTCAATTTATCGCCAATATACACCACAAAAACGGACAAATAAAAAAGAACTGCACGCTTTTGATTAGTATAAGACATTACTTATAGTAAAAGAAACGTATATAAATAATAAAAGAAGATATTACACAAGAAAAAAGCTAGAATCGATAGAAAACAGCTTACATGTGAGAATATTTCAAGCATTTTATAAAATAATGAATATCAGTTCCCGCAGCGAACGATTTTTGTTGGCTTTTCGTCGCAAAGGAATATTTTGAGGGAACTGAAAATATTTTGGCCAACAAAACTGAGTTTGCTTGCAACATTAACATGATGCAAAGATAGATAAATAATAATATTTTTGACATTGGTTTGGTCTTTTTTACGAAAATTGTCTTTGTATAATACTAAAATTTCGACACTAGTTTTATATTTTTAAAGGTTTTATCTTGATCATGAATTTTAACGCGATTTTGGTTCTTCTTCACTATTTTTCGTTAAAACTATGTTTATCAGTTCAATTATATTATCATAAAACTAGTTTCAGATGAGACCACTATCTCTTCAAGGACATACGCGTCCTTTGACTCGTGTTCGTATTAATCAAGAAGGGGATTTGCTGTTCACCGCGTCAAAAGATCACTTTCCAGCGGTTTGGTTCTTGGAAAATGGAGAACGTATTGGCACTTTTGATGGACATACTGGTGTAATCTGGGACATTGACATTTCATGGGACACTAGACATTTGGTCTCTTCTTCTGGTGACCCTTCAGTTAGGGTAAGGTGCATAGTTTTTGGATTTTCAATTCTTAGGATGGTTTAAGGTGTGGGAAGCTTAATGTTAAGATTTTTGATGGTCATAGGCATGTTTTTGTTAAGTTGTGTGATACCGGTATGTTTGGTTTAGTTTTGACGAAGATTTTTGTTAACATAGGTTAGCGAAACATTGGTATGGCATGATTTTTGCCATAACGTGTGTCAATAAGGTTGTACGAATCGGAAACTTTAGGAGAAGGTTGTTGAAGGTTTTCAAAATGTTTTGGTTAAGTTTTGTATAAATTTGAGGGTTGACTGAGATTCTACACAGATTTATGTTGAGTTACATTAGCTTGGCACGATAATGTCTTATTTATTGGCATACCTTGTTTTATGGCTTAATGTAAGCTGTGGAGCATTCAAATATTAATTTTTAATAAGGTTACTAATAAAGGTCTTTTAGGTATGGGACGTTCAAACTGGTCAAGAACTATCAATGCTTCAAGTCCCCACTGTAGGCCGCTCTGTTTCAATGTCCTACAGCGGGAACTTGTTAGCCTACACAACCACCAAAGTAGCTCTAACCCCTCCAAAGCTTTTCATCGCCGATATTCGTGATGCAGCTCATGTGTCAGGTGATAGTACGATCGAGATCTCTCTGGATAGTGTTGGTGCCAATTGTTGTACCTTCACCCACATGGATGATACTGTAGTAATTGGTACGACGAACGGAATTTTACAACAATTTGATTTAAGAAACCCGTCTGACGTCGTGAACTTTTCGCCAGTTCATAACAACACGATTAACGATCTGCAATGTTCGAGGGATGAGGGTTTGTTGGTATCGTCGTCCAACGACAGAACGGCCAAATTGCACGACGCTAAGGATCTGACACATTTGAAGACTTTTAAGTAAGGCATTTTTATTTTGTTTTTTGTCATTTTTAGGCAAAACAAGGCATTTTTATACCAAATAATGGTGTCGTTTGCTATTTTGGTAGTCACGTTTTTGGCTAAAATTTTGTTTTAAGCTATTTAGCTGTAAATCTATCAATCTTTAACTATAAGCTTATAAATTCTGTTTAACATTATGTGACATTATCTTTCAGACGAGGACGACCAGTCAACTCCGCAGCCATCTCCCCAACCCATCCGTATGTTGTAGTAGGTGGTGGTGAGGAAGCCATGACTGTAACCCAAACCGCCGCATCGGCCGGTCAATTCGAAACCAAACTCTTCCACGCCGTCTACGAAACCGAATTCGCTCATTTCAAAGGCCATTTCGGTCCAGTCAACACGGTGGCTTTCTCTCCAGATGGCAAAACCATCGTCACCGGATCGGAAGACGGTTTCGTGCGAGTTCAAGAAATGGACAAAGAGTACTTTGACTACGACGCGGATTATTGAAAGCGATTGTTTGTTGTTGCTTAAAGTTATTTTATTATATTGTTGTAGCATTCGCGATGCTATGTGATGAAAGGATTGGAAATAAATGATTGGTTTTAAAAATTTGGGTTTTTTGAGGTTTTTAGGTAACAAAAAGACCCGAAGGCACTATTTTTTATTAAAAATTAAAATATAGCTTTAGGTAACAAAAAAAGCGATTTATTTTTTGCACCGTGCAATAGTTTAGTGACTGCACGGTGCAACAGTGGAAATTAGTTAAAGCGCACCGTGCAGTTTTAATTTTATTGCACGGTGCAAAAATAAAAATTGAGAAATTTAACTTTTACGCCATTTGAAGTATCAAAAATGAATTTCAAAGTATCAAAAACTTTTTTTTCAAAAAATTATTTATGCTTGAAAAACTACAAGTTCTAGTAAATCTTAACAAACTGGCAGTAGGGAAGCTCCGAAAAGTGGTTACAACTGGCATTAATGGCCGAAAAAGCCATGGCTGCGATGATAACGGCCAATAAAAACAATCTCACGTAGCTGATCTTGCCCTTCCTCGTACTGTAAAAGCCACTCGTTGTCAAACAAACCGTCAATGCAGTTCCAAGAGTGTCATGCGTTAGGTTTTTAAGCGAATCTGAGTCCTGAGCAAAGGTTTCTTGATATTTTAGTGACAAATGCGTGTAGAACAAGGTGATCATTGTGCCAATTACAATACACAGCATTGTTAAGAATCTCCATGAGTGTTTTTCGGGTTGTTTGAAGGTCAATAGGAGGCCTGAGATCAAGGGAAGGAGGCCGGATAACAGCCAGTATTGGTCGGTCTGAAACATTTAGTTATACCTTTTGAATTTGGAAAAATTATAGAGTAATGTATAGTTAAAATTACAGTAAAATAAATGTTTTTATACTATGTTTAAGTAGGTTAAACCAGATTTTACATCATTACCAATGTGAGTAATATAAATGATATTACACTGCATATCAAACATATAAAATTGTTTCTTTTCATATATTTTTCATGTGTAAAATACGCTTTTTTGCAACTGGTACTATAAAAGTTAAAATTACCATCTACAACATAATTTTTAGTTAAAATGGCTAAAAACAATTTTTAAAAAATTTAAAATAAAAAATTTTTTTTTATTATTTTGTAAAAAACCGAAAAAAAACTAAAAAATAATAATAGTTTTATTAAAAAATCCCTTTTTTATCTTTAATTTCAAATTTAAAAGCTTTATAACAAACTTTGTTTTTTGCACCGTGCAACATTTTATAGACTGCACGGTGCAACAGTACAAATTTTTAAAGCGCACCGTGCAGTCTTAAATTTATTGCACCGTGCAAAAAATAAAGTTGTAAAAAGTGGTCAATAATGTTATGTAGATATATTTTTGAGCTTTCAAAAGTTATGAAGGTTATTCGAAAGTGAAAGAAAAATGTATTTATACAATTTAAAAAATAAAAAAAATTTTAAAACTTTCCATAAAATTTAAAAAAACTCACCACATAGGTATAGGCTGAATAGCCGATGAGCAAAAGTCCTGCCGACCTGGTCTGCATAATCTGTCGTCTTTTTTGGTGAATTTACAGGGCGAGGCGAGGGTCTTTTCCTTTTTTTCGATCGGAATCAAGAAAAGCGACACAAACACTTTACACTTGGGAAACGTTGGCAAGTTGGTAATTTATTGCGGGCAGATCTAATTAACTGGTCTTTACAACTTTCCAGGCTACAGTTTTTGGGTGTTTAACACAGATTTTTGAAAATTGATTAGACTACTGTAGATACTGTAAGTGAAACATAATTTGTGCCATTTTTTATTGACTTAAAAGCGAAAATTGAAGTCAAAAATAATAAAAAATACTGAAGCAGTCATTTATGATACTGGTAATGACCTAAAATTGTCAAAAAGTCAATTGTTTAAATTTTAAAAAATTTATATTTTCCGCGAGCTGCGCCCAGATAAAACTAAAAAATTTAAAAAATTTGAAAAAAAAGTTCAAAAAAGACCAGAATAGACCAAAAATACCATTTTCAGAATGACGGGCCGAACATTCAAGCTAAAAGCCAACAATCATGAAGTTGATGTTCACCTTGATGACATTACATTGATGTTCTTTGATACCACAATGGCCATGTTTAGCAGCCAAGTTGGAGATAGTGATGACAGTTTTGACTATTTTCAATGTGAGTTGTTACAAATTACAAAAAAAAAAGTTTTGGGGTGGAAAAAAAAGTTTTGTTGTTTTTTTAAAGTGCAGATTAAGGTTGAAAAACGACAAGACTTTTTTTTCCGCCTTGAATACTAAGCTTAGAGAAGTCTAAATAAAAGCCTAAGTCTAGAAGCTTAACTCTAGAAACCTAAGCCTGAAAGCCTAAGCCTAGAAGCAATAAAAAGTTACGTTTGACCAAAATATAAATAAGTTTACAGACAAAGACGATGAAGCCGAATGGATTACAGTCCGAACAGATGAAGAGCTACAAACACTGTTATTCTCTTTTGAACCGGACGATTTTGTTGAAATCAAGCTTTGTAAGTCTTATTTTCTTCATAACAAGAAAAGTTTAATAAATATAAGCCAAAATGCCTAAGGCTTCGACTAAAAGCCGTATAAAATCTGAATTCTAATGTTATGTTTGAAACCCAACAATAAATTTCAACATTGTTACCTAATAACGCTGATATAACAAGATAGCCTTAGAGAAATTGAAAGAAATTGTATTACGTAACTTTTTATTATGAAATCTTATTGTTTTATGTCAATTTGCCTCGATGTAAAACGACCCAACAAATTACTGCGAGTACGACAATTTCACATTATTTTTCAGCGAGGCATCAAGTTTTGCTTGCCATAAAAAAGTTTTTGGTCGTTAAAAAATAAAGATCGTGTTAAGCCTTAGCCTACAAAAAAAACCTAAGCCTAACCTTGAAAACCTAGTTCAAAAAGCCTACGCCTCGAAGTTTAAGAAGAGAAGCGTAAGCCTAGACTTGTAAGTTTAAAAGCCCATGCACACAAAGCTAAGCCTAGAAGCTTAAGCCTAGATATCTGCGCACGGAAGCATATTCTTAGAAGCTTGAGCTAAGGTCAAGAAATATAGAAACCTAGAATCTTAGAACTCTAAGCCTGAAAGCTTAAGTCTAGAAGCCAAACCCTAGAAGTCTAGGCTTAGAAGTCAACATTTAAAAGCCTGAGCTTAAGCCTAAAACGTAAGTCTAAAAATTGAATCTGCTAAGAAGCTTAAGCCTAGCAGCTTACGTCTAAAAAATAAAAAATAAAATTAAGTCTAGGTTTAAGCCTAAGCTTAAGCTTACTAAGCTTAAACCTACTAGGCTCAAGCTTACCAAGTCTATGTTTACAACATCTAAGCCTACTAAGCTTCGTTTACTAATCTTAAACCTGGCAAGCCTAAGTTCACGAAGCCAAAATCTATCAAGCTTAAGCCTACGAAGTTCGTAAGCCTAAATCTAGAAGCCTAAAAGCCCAAGCTTCAACTTATTTTATTTTGTTGTGTCTATTCGTAATGAAAGTGGCTTTGTTTGTTACAAATTATTTTTTTATCTTTGGCAGATCGATCGAACGGGTGACTATTTTGTTTTGCTTCGATTTGCATTAAAGGCTGCTTTTTTCTATTTTAAAAGAAGATTAGACTTGAATATTTGGCTAATTCTAAACAGCATTATCTACAAGTCTAAGCCTATAAGTAATATTTACTATAATGACAAACGAAGTATTTAACTGGGAGCGACTGTTCGCTAGCCTTGACGATGATTTTGATCTTTTACCACCAGGACCGAAATACACTGTGGATAACGTCAAGCAATGTAAATCCTTTGACAAATCGATGCTGTATTCGGCCGAAGATACAAAAGCCTCAATTGGTCGTGTTGTACTGTTTGGGCTGGTCGATGGTATCAACTTGTCGGTCGATGACATTGGTATCGCTGTGTTGCAGTTTGTTGTACGTGAGTTGATGCCTGTGAATGGTGGTGGGGTGGTGGCTGGAAGCTTTCATGATGTGGGACATACCAGTTCTGTCGTGGTGGTACCTAGCAACTCTGATAAGATGATACCTACAAGCTTTGATGAAGTACTTACCAGTTCTGGCGTGGTGGTGCCTAGGAACTCTTATAAGATGGTACCTACAAGCTTTGATGAAGTGATACTTACCAGTTCTGGCTTGGTGGTACCTACCAACTCTGAAAAGTTTCTACCTACCAAGTCTGATCACATGGTACCAACTAACATTAATAAGCTTCTACCTACAGGCGCTAATGACGTAGCAACCTTCTGGGCCGACTACGAAAGCCTGGGGTGTTTTGACAAATTTCAGGGCTACGCTGACTTCAGGCTATGTCATAATGTACTAGAAGAATCAAATAATCTACGCTGACAATCACTACCCAGTAACCGAAAAGCTAATCAACAACGTCCCCACCAAGTTCTACGCCACACCATCCAATCCCAAGCTAAAAGCAATCAATTCAGAAGCTGTAAACAAAGTTCTTGCAACAACAGCACGATTCTTTGGAACAGAAGAAGAGACTAAAATCTACGCTAGCCTGGTCAAAATTTTGCTTCGTGGACTGGTCAAAGGCGTTGCTCATCAACTTGGACTACTTAACAATTTATCAAGAGTTGGTGGACCAAATGTTTCTGTAGCTTTTGATAAGGCGAAGATATGTGCCATCAATGATTGGCTACAACAACATGGAGCTACAACCCTGGCTCGGCTTATTATGACAGCTCAAAAGTTTTGTCAGCTGAAGAGGATTGAAATCAGTGAGACAGAGCTGAAGCGTGAGGTTGCAACCAGCAAGTCAGACTGCAAGTATAACATTGGAATCAGCAAGTCAGAGCTCAAGTACAACTACATTCGACCATTCCAAATGGCCCTAATGAAAACCTACAATGTTGTCGCCAATGTCGCTTCGAAATTCGAAATAACCATGCCCAAAGCCATCGAGTACCTTAATATCAGCGATACTAAACTCTCCTGCAAGCATCTCCACAAATTTTTGGACCTTCAAAAACAACTTGAAGACAAAAATGTTTGGAAAATGAGTTTCTAGCTCGAAATCTACCGTATGCTCGACTTATCAACCCAGACTTCTTCACTCAGCAACAAAGAATGGTCTTCGACTAACCATACTGGCCATTCTGGTCGGTTCGAACAAATCTGAATGGGACAGATTGTTCAACGTCGAGCCTTATAACCGTTTTAAACTTGGGAAGGCGAGCTGGTTCGGAGGTGCTCGCCAGATCGTTCAACAGATCCAGATGGACAAGTTACAAGGATAAGATATTGAAAATTGATTTAAGTTTAGTTTTAGGCTTTGATTTCTTTTAATTTTAATATTTTTTAGTTAAAAAAAACTTTTTTAATACTTATTCATATAGTAAAAAAAGTTTTTTAATTTTTTTTTGTAGTTTGATCAAGGTGAACATCAAGTTCATAATTATTGACTTTTACTTTGGATTTTGGGCCGGTCTTACTGAAAATGGCATTTTTTGATCTATTTAAATCTTTTTTTTAACTTTGTAAATTTTATTACAGCGGAACTCCCATATAATAAATTGTTTGTGAATTTTACATTTGCTCGTTATAATGGAGTTTTTGTTAAATAAGAACCTTAATTACACTTTTTAATGCGGGTCAAGAATCTAAATGGTGTTCTTGGTTTTTGTTATACAGAAGTTTGTTAACCTGGTGTTCCACTGTAGTTATTTTTTTGGTGCCGACAGAAAGAACCCGCCATACTTTTTCTGCAATTTCCTGTAAAAAAAGGCGAGTTATTTATGTCGGCAACTAATACAAAAAAAACTTTTTTTTTCGGTTTAATAGTTATTTTGTTGAGCATCTTCATTACTTTTGTTTTACTCACTTATAATTTATACTTATATTATCTTTATATAAAATAATAAACGTTTGTAACATAGCTTTGTTTTGCTTTGATAAATAATTTTAAAAAAATTTTAACTTTAAAAAAATCAAAATTATTTAAACCTACCATAGCTAAAACTACAAAATATTATCAAAACAGGCTCATCAAAAGTGCCCAAAAAAAGGCTCGGCTCAGAAATTGCACGACCTTCGACCGGGCGAAATTCATCGAATGGAAACGTTGGGTTCTGGACAGTTTGGCACAGTTTATAGGTCAGTTTTATCTAAAAAGGTTTAAGAAGTCTTGAAAAATAATATTTTTAAATTTACTTTAATGTAAATTTAGTATTTTATTAGTTTTTGCATTTTAAAAAATTGTTTTTCAAAAGTTTTAGGGCTAACGGGACATTTTTCATCGTATAACTTGTCACAGTTAACGTAAAAGCTAAAATTTGAATTTTTTAAAATCTAGAGACTTTAGAACTTCATAATAACGTATTTCCAAACTTTTACAACGCATAATTACAGAGTAATCGACGATTTGGACAGACAATACGCAGTCAAAGCAATATGTGAAACTGGAGACGAAAAGACTGATTGGGGACTGTTAAATGAGATCGATATACTTAAAGTAGGTAAAATTACATTCGTTATATTAGTCTATACGTATTTTACAATATTTTACCTTTTGGTTTATTTTCGACTGCTTTTTCTATATTAGCCATGATGTTATCTACCAAGTTTAATATAAAAAGCGTCATAAAATTTAAAGTACAATGCTTAGAAATGTGAAAGTCCGTACATAGTGACATTTCACGGTGTGTCACGGGAAGAAGGTGAGTGGTTGATCAGATTAGAGCTAATGGATGGGTTATCACTCGATTTATATGGCCAAATACCAGCAAAAGTATTGGCTCCAGTGGCGGTTTCTGTTATTGCCGGACTGGATTACCTCTGGACTATGGAAGTCATGCATAGAGGTAGGATTTTAAAACCTTTTGACTTATATTGAGTATTACCTTTGAGGTATATTTTGTTTTGGCACACTTGTGCCCAGCTAGCTATATTAACCATGGTGATTTAGATGTAAAGCCGAGTAACTTTTTGGTAAACACAAAAGGAGAAGTCAAACTATCAGATTTTGGAGTATCAAGACAGATGATTCTATCAGCAGTATATTCTGTAGTTGGTACTAACAAGTACCTGGCTCCAGAAAGGATTGCTTGCGAAAGCTATAAGTAGGTACTATAGTATCATATAATTGGAAGAATTAAAATTTTAGATTAAAAAAGTAAATTTATAAATATAAAAATGACTTTTCTTAACATAAAACTTCATAAAACTGCCGAAAGCACCCAATTTTTTCTTTAAAACTTTCCGTATAAAATGTCACTCGCAGTTCGCAGCCTTTCGGACGCGGCTTGGGGACATAATATTGTTGTATTTTTTACGTTTCTTTACAGAAAATGTTCGGACGTATGGAGTTTGGGTTTATCGTTGGCCGAAATGGCGTTAGGAAGGTTTCCATTCGATCAAACTACTTGGACACAAGTGATTCGTAATGAAATACAGCCAAATATGGGGTTAGAGACGATTTCCGAAGCTTTAAACGACTTGGTTTTGAAATGGTACTGATAAATCGCATTTGATATAGTTTTAAAATGTATTTTAGTTTGATTTTTAACCAACACGAACGAATTCAAGCTGGGCATTTGGTGAAACACTCGTATTTTCAAGATAATTCACCTCCAAATCGAGATCTAGTGGCTCAGTTTATCAAAGACAATATATATCGCGTGAAAGAACGAATATACTCTTGATTTATCGCGTACTTGGTACTTAATGAACGTGTTTATATTATGTTAATAAAGTTATTTGGATTTCTTTCAGTTGGAATGAAGAATTTGCATTTATATAAAGTGATACAGACATCAAACCCGAATCTCAAGGAAGAACTAAAAAGTAAATTTAAACGTTAAAGTTTATTTTATTTTTATGTTTAGATGCATCTCATTTTGCTTCCGACACAAGGGCAGGACAGATCTTCTTCATAACATCTGAAAAATTGATTGGAATCAAGAATGGAGAGCTGGTATGGATAATGTAACATAAATTGATCTAAACTCATACTTTTCAGTCTTGTGACTACGAATTTGATTCTTCAGTAGAACATGAAGGTCCAGTTGTGTGTTTTGATTATCTTTCCGATTCAGATGAACTCTTTTGGATCTACCAAAATGGACATTGTTATCGGATGAATGTGGAGTCGTGGGAGGTGAGTAAAATGAGTTGATTATGTGGTTTTAAAGTAAGTTTTTATTATTCTTTTTGATTTTTAGGCAGTAGAAGATACTGGAGTAGTGTTTGAACCAGTTTGGGGCGCTTCATGGTCCCCAGGCTATCAGAATTTGGTCGTGGCGACTGAAAACACTTTGTTGTTGTTCTCACGTGACTTGGATGTGATCTCAGAAAGCGAGGTGAAGCCAAATTATGCTGGAAAAGGTAAATAAAATACGTGATAGACTTTTCTTTGGTTTGAATATGAATCTATGTTAAAAAGTTAAAGATATTAGTCTTAAAAACGACCTTAAACTTATCTACTTACTAGATGTCTAATATAAAATTTTTTTATAGAAGAACTACAAACAATTGGTTGGGGATCAAAAGAAACACAATTTCAAGGATCTGTAGGTAAAGGAGCACGTGAAGTAGCTGATAAAGATCGTCAGTTAACGCTGCTAGTTGAGTATGATCAAGAACAGTTTGGCACATTGATCAAGTGGAGAGCTGATGGACAAGTGCTCGCTATTTCGAACACTGAAGTCGTTGCTGGTGCCAAATGTCGTAGAGTTAGGATATGGGATTCTGATTTGAATTTCTTAGCTTTATGTGATCCGTTGAGCGGTATTGAACCTACTTTAGAAGTTTTGTAAGTTTGTCATGGATAATATAAGGCTTTTTTGATTTTTTTGTTGGTTTTTAGATGATTTTGAAGGGGTTTGAAGAAGAAATGGTTAAAATAGGATGTGATAGTGTATTGAATTTACTTTTGAGGTTAAAAAAGTTTTGTCACATCAAGATATATTGAGTTATATCACCTTGCTTTAGACCGTCTCGAAACCTGTTCGTAACCTCTAGAACGAGTGTTGATGAAGAAAAGACGCGATCACTGTGGTTTTACGAACAAAATGGACAATATAGAAAGAATGTTACACTTGAAAAGCAGGATAATATGAAGTTACAATCAATTCAGACCAATTGTGATGGTACTATACTAGCTTTGGTCTTTGACTCTGATACTAATGTTGATGCCATAGCTCAGCCAGGCGGTGAACTTCAATTCTGGACGTTGAGCAATGCTGAATGGACTAAGAAGTTGGCTTACAAATTCAATTACAGTATCAAATACAGTAACTTCTCTCAGGAATTCGCTTCAAACTTTCAATTTCTGACCTCGGAAGGCAGTACAATATCTTTTGACATTGGATTTCTATACAACTCTGAAACCGGCAAGGTTGTTAGTGTAAATGGCAGAGAGCTGCGACTAACCGACCTTAACGTGGCTCCAATTCCACCACCAATGAGTCATGTACAATATAAACTGGCGGGGGCTGTTTCAAGCATTTTTATCCGAAATGATGGACGAATTGCCGTTTTAAACAAGGATATGATGTTATATCTCGTCGATTTTAAAGACCTGAAGGCTGAAGTTGTTGCAGAAGAGAAATTGGAGAACGTTGGTGATTTTGTATACGAATTGAGGCTTGTGGATGATCAGAAAGTGTCATATGTGAGCTTGAAGGATGGTGAATATAAAGTGGAAGTATTGGATTTGAAAACGATGGAAATTAGGTAGGAGCTTTGGATTTGTGGCATTTTTTGGGCTTTTGAGAACCTTTGAACTTAATTTTAAAAATGTTTGAATTAAATTTTTTTTAAATTGAAATTTTAGGTAACAACTAAAGAAAAAATCAAATTTTAGATATTATTAGGGCTTTTTAAGCAATGTATTGTTACGATTAGAAGAAAACATTATTTTTTAAACATAACTATGATTTTTGTTACCTAAAATATTGGAAAAACGTTATTTTAGGTAATAAAAGTGCATTTTAAACATTTTTTAATCAAAAAAATATTTAAAAACTTATAAAATGAATATAATTGTAAGTAAAATACGTCAATGATTTTTTCAGCTCATTATCAACCCAACCAGAACCCATAGTCTACCATAAAGTTGATGGTACAACAACATATGTCATCACTGATAAGGGAAAATGCCTCAAAACGACCGAAAACGAAACTGCCATTCTTTTTGATGTCGGTCTAACCGATTTTTTCAAATGGACTTGGATCGGCAATGACAGTTTCCTAGGCTTATCACCCAACTTTAATTTGTACCTAAACGACCGGTCGATTATTCAAAATTGCATGAGTTATTCGATAAATGGCAGTCTGTGCTTGTTCACTACGTTTGAACACAAGTTGCATGTGCTGGAGGTAAATAAGGATGTGAAGAAGGCTGATGAAGGTACGTCTGGTCTTGGCTAGAAAAAAATTTTAAAAAAATTTTTTTGATATAAAGATTTTTTTAATTAAAATGCCATTTTTAATCGTATATCCCACTATAATCAAATTTTTAAGGCCGAAAAGTGGAGCGAGGAGCAGTAGTCGTCGGTCACGAAGGCGAAAACGGCACAAAATGCTGGCTCCAAATGCCCAGAGGCAATCTAGAAGGTATCCACCCCCGCTTCCTAACCCTCAGCAACATGAAAACCCTCCTAAATCAAAAACAATACCTAGAAGCAGCGATTCAGATGCGAAAACATCGAATCAACATGAACCTGATCCTAGACCATGATCCAGAATCATTTTACAACAGTTTGGACACGTTCATCGGCCAATTCGATCCAAAAGTGACACTTCACATGGACCTACTACAACTCTTCATATTAGGCTTAGAGGAGACGGATTCAACAGCTACAGCCTTTAAGGAACACTACGAAAGAGAAGGTCAAAAAGTGTCGGGGAAAGTGGTAAAAGCGGCCGAGGAAATGGAAAAAGTGATAAGAAGAAGGCTGGATGAATTAGAGCAAGGAGAGATGTTATACTTGTGCCTATTGTCTTGTTTGATCAAGAAAGAACAAGGAAATTCGGCTACGAACGCGCTACTGGATTTGAAGGAGAGAAGCGCTAAAAGTGGGTTTTTGAATTTTTTTTTGAAATTTAGAATAAAAATGAATTTTTGATTGCACCGTGCAAGGAAAAAAAATTTTTTTTGAAAATTTGAAAAAATTTTAAAAAATTATTTACCCTTTACCCCCTACTCTCTACCCCCTGCTCTCTACTCCTACTCTTATATCCTACCCCCACTACTACTGTACCTAACTGGATGAAATAGATCAAGAGGAGGTGTTATACATGAAGGTTTTAAAAAATTTTGAAAATTTCAGTATCCAAAGAGCAAGACCGAACAAAACACCTCTCCATGAGCCTCCGCCACCTAAGCTACATTGTCGACCCGAACCCACTCTTCGAAGCAGCTCTACGCACATTCGACTTGAACATATTATCCATGATCGCCGACAAACTACAAAAAGACCCAAAGGAATATATTCCACTAATCAATCGACTCAAAGGTTTTGAACCAGAAAACTACCGAAGATTCCACATCTGTTTGCTATTGGAAGATTGGGCTGAAGCTTTGGATTATATTTCGAAGGTTGAGGAGAAGTTCGATGAATGTTGTGAACATGTAAAACAATATGGATTGTACTCGAGGGCGTTGAGGTTGTTCAAGGGCACTGAGAGGTATAAGGTAAGTATCTGAAACTATAGAAATGGTTTGGTCTGTTTTAGGTTTTATGTTTGGCTTAAATCAAGATGTTGTTAGGGTTAAGTTTAGGTTTAACTGTAGGGTGTTTAGGCTTAAATTAAAGCGTTATATAGGCTTAAGTTTAGGTTTAAGGCAAGGGTTTTAGGCTTAAATAAAAGTTGTTTTTAGGCTTTAAGAAAAGGGTAATAAGGAAAGTGATTCAGGCTTAAGTTAAGGCGTTATACAGGCTCAAATTTAGGTTTAAATGAAGGCATTTTTAGGCTGAAGTAGAGCCGGGTTTTAGGCTTAATGATAAGCCTAAGTAAAGGCGGTTTTTAGGCTTAAACTTAGGTTTTAACTTAGACGATTTTTAAGCTTAAATTAAGGTGTTCTAGGATTAAAGTGCGGACTTGAATGAAGGCCTTTTTTATGCATAAATAAAGGATGCTTTTAGGCTTAAAGAGAAGCTTAAATAAAAGCGTTTTTAGACTTACGTAAAGGCTGCTTTTAGGCTTAAAAAGAAGTTCAAATAAAAACATTTTTAGGCTTAAAGAGAAGTACAAATAAAAAATTTTTAGGTTTAACTAAATGTTGCTTTTAGGCTTAAAGTAATGGCTTTGATGAAGGCTTTTTAAAGCTTAAAGCTAAGTTTAAATGAAAGCGTTTTTTAGGTTTAAACTTAGGCTTAAATTTAAACTTTTTTACGCTAAAAAAACTAAATTTTCACTCTATTTTTTGCGATTTTAGGCTTAATTTTTAGATATAAGCTTTAAAACAACTTGATTTTAAAGCCCTTTTTTAGGAAATCTGTTCACTATCGGCCGATCACTACTACAAGAAAGCCAAATTCACGGACGCCGCTTATTTGTATCAAAAATGCGACCAATACGAGAAGGCTCTACAAGCATTTGAAAGCGCCTTAAATGTAGAAGAGTACTGTAATTTGTACGAAAGTTTTGTGTGTCAACAAGGACAAGTAGATGCCACGAGTACAACAAAGAGCTCTGAAAGTACAACTTTGAATATACCCAAAGCCAAGTACGAGCTAGCTCTGAAGAAGATGGCCGTTCATCTGGAGCAAAAAGGCCGAACCGCCGAAGCCGCCACAGCCCTAGCCAAGCTCAATTTCGAAGCCCACGCCGAGAAAATAGCGAATTTGTTAGCGACAGCCGGTCGCTGGACTAGTCTATCGAAATTGACAACGAAAATGCCGGAGGCGATCGTCACTGACATTCTCATGAACAAGTTCGAAGCCTTCACCGTACTTTTTGAGAATCAGAAGCAACAGATCCTGGAGTATCAGGAGAGACTGCTGGAGTTGAGAGAGATCAAGCAAAGACATCTGAACGCCTGGATCGAAGCCCAAGGCGATGACGCGTTTGATTGTGCACAGTCGGAAACGACCAGTATCGCGTCGAGTATGATGTCACAGGCTTCCAGAATGTCGACGGCGTCTAGTCGAAGGAGAAAGAATGTAGGTTTGGTCGTGGGTATGAGGTTATGATGGGGTGTGGGTATGGAGTTATGACAGATTTTGTGAAAGGGTCCTTTTTATCTAGTTGAAGATCAGCTGGAGGGGGATGGGTAAAAGAGGTCAAGATGAAAAAGAAATTTTGATTATTAAGGCAGTTTTTATTAGAAATATCAAGAACTTTCTTTACAGACTATAATAATATAAGTAGGAATAAAAGATTTGTCGTATAACTTGTCACTCGCAGCCTGCATAACATAAAAATGGGCGTCTTTGGAAGATAATTGGCAGCAACTTTCTTTACAAAACAAAATGGCAAAAATTTTCTTTACAAAAAATGAAATGGCAAGAACTTTCTTTACAAAACAAAAAAATGGCAATAACTTTTTTTTACATAACATAAAATGGCATGAACTTTCTTTACAAAACGAAAAATGGCAAAAGCTTTCTTTACAGCACAATACGTTCTTTACAAAGCGGAAAATGGCAAGAACTTTCTTTACAAAACAAATTTTTTTAAAACTTACGACAATATTTGTCGTATATTAAGTATGACACATATTTATCAAATATTTACCTTCAGGTAGACAAAAAGAAGTCGGTAGTGAAGAAAGGAAGTCAATATGAAGATGCTGCCATCCTATTAGCTCTCAAATCTCTATACAAAGCTGTCGATGACATTCAAGAAGAAATGGCACAGTTCCTAAGAGCCTTGGTTACGGTCGATTTGCTACAAGAAGCCGCAAAAGTCCAAGAAGCCTTTGATTCACTGATAAAAACATGCACAACCAAGAGGAACAGCATCTGGCCAGAGTACCTGAAAGCCACAGATTTGCCAGGCCCAATCTTTGAAACGTTCCGATGTGAAGATGGCATAGTGAGGTTGCCTGAAGGCAATTCCATGCCACCACGGTTCCAGTTGAGCGAAGAGTTGATGGCTCCGAAGATACGATCCAGTGTTACGTGGAAGTTGGATTTGTTGCAGTAGAAGGGCTACTGTGATGATATTGCTGTAGAAGGGCTACTGTGATGATATTACAGTAGAAGGGTTATTTTAATGATGTGGCTGTAGAAGGGCTACTTAATTTCTGTAACATATTACTCATTGAGCTAAAAAAAATTTTAATAATTTACCGCAACATAGAGAAAACGACCGGTAAAGTTTTGTAACAGAACTTTTGGCGCACCCTGTAACGATGTTGCAGTAGAAGGGTTACTAAAGGGGGGGGGGCGGGGGCGATTTTAAGAAAAATAGACCCAACATTGCATTGGCTACAGTAATAAGACTACTGCAACGATGAAGAAAGTTTTGTTGTATTAGGGCTTATATTAGGCTAGTAAAAAAGTTTTGTTGTTTTTTAATGTGAAAGAAAGCTTAAAAAACGACAAAACTTTTTTTTATTGGTTTAATGGTAGTCTTGCTGCAATAAAACTTCTTTCTACGTTGTAGTACTCTGATTACTGTAACAAGTCTAATTTTGGGCCGATTTTGAGGATAGATTGTACTAAAGGTAGCCTATACACTACAGCAAAAGTTGAGTTTTGAGTTTTTAAATTTTTTTTGAAATTTTTAACTTTTTTGTTACCTTGTTATTGTTGTATTTGTTAAGTTTTTGTTCTTTTCTATCGAATAAACACCGGTTGTATTGGCTTCACATTACTTTTCATTGTGATTCTACTGGTTAATACCCAGAGGTTTTACCTGATTTTAATTTTCATTAATTTTATTGGACTTTAGTTGTGAAATATGACTGATTCGAAAAGAATGGCGCGTTTTTAAACATTTTTTTTGTTTGGAAAAGATTGGCGTGTTTCATTGAGTTGAAAAGAAAGTTTTGTCGTTTTTTAACTTGAAAAACAAGGTTAAAAAACGACAAGACTTTTTTGTTTTTATTTTGATGCAAAAAGAATGGCGCGTTTGTATTTGATGCAAAAAGAATGGCGCGTTATTGTTTGATGCAAAAAGAATGGCGCGTTTCTGTTTGATGCAAAAAGAATGGCGCGTTTGTTGATGATGCAAAAAGAATGGCGCGCTTCTTTAAAAAACATTTATTTTAGTACATGTTGTGTTATATTTTATATTGTTTTAGATGCCAGACCACCCAAAAAGCGCTCTATTGTCTTTAGTCGGCGTAGCCGGAGTAGCCGTCGCTAGCCAACTGGTCAAAGGAGTCCTGTCTCAAAGTCAACAAGGCACTTTGATTGGTGGAGGTAGGTGGTTTTAAATGGCAAGAACTTTCTTTACAAAACAAAAAAATGGCAATAACTTTGTTAAAAAATCAAAAATGGCAAGAACTTTCTTTACAGAACAAAAAATCGCAAGAACTTCCTTTACAAAACAAAAAATGGCAATAACTTTCTTTACAATATCAAAAATGGCAAGAACTTTCTTTACAGAACAAAAAATCGCAAGAACTTTCTTTACAGAACAAAAAATGGCAAGAACTTTCTTTACAAAACAAAAAATGGCAAGAACTTTCTTTACAAAACAAAAAATGGCAAGAACTTTCTTTACAGAACAAAAAATGGCAAGAAATTTTTTTACAGCATAAAATGAACTAAAAATGCATTGTTTCAGCAATTGGAGCCCTTTTCTACCTATTTTCTCTAACATTCATATCAAACACCAAGCTGACTCTCCAAGGCAGTAATGCCTCGTCAGGACTGGCCGACCTCGCCCTAGGCATCGTTCTCGGAGCCGGCTTGGCCTCAACGATTCATCGTGTCTCAGTCACTGTCTCCATCTTGTTCTCCATCGTTATCACCGTATTCTTGACCGGACTGAGCCAAAACTACTATCACACGGTGCAGGCTGCGCCTGTTGTTAAGAAGAAGAAGTAGAACATTTATGTTAAGGAGTGGGGGGGGGGAGAGGGGTCTTTATGGAATAAGGATCGGATTTGAGATGGAAATGGCAAAAATATTAAGGAGTTTAAATTCTTGGTATTTACTGGTCGATAATTTACTGTTTTGGTTTCAGGTCGAAAAGTTTTTAGAAAACCGATTTGTTTTTGGATTTTGGCTATTTTTTGATGGATTTTTGTCTAAAATCTTGATTTTTTTTGGCTAACATAATATCAGAAAGTTGATTTTTTTAGTTAAAATATTACCTAAAAAGCGGTTTTTTATGAAACTTTTTGCTAAAAAAGGCTTTTTTTACCAATATGTTACCTAAAAATTTATTTTTGTTTTAAAATGTTAGTTATAACTTGACTTTTTAGCCATATTTTATTTAAAAAATGGATTTTCTAGCCAAAATATTACCTAAAAAAAGTATATTTCAGGTATTTTATTACCTAAAAATCTAATTTTTGTTTCTAATGTTACCTAAAAATTGACTTTTTTGCTAAATTTTACTTAAAAAAGTAATTTTCTAGCTAAAATATTGTCTAAAACATCATTTTTTGTTTAATATAATGCTTAAAAATTGACTTTTTGGCTAAATTTCACTTAAAAATTTGATTTTTTACCCAAATTATTACCTAAAATCTAAATTTTTTAATAAAACTTATGCTAAATTTAATGTTAAACCCATTCCCATGCCTTATCCGTGACTTTTTGTGATATTGTTTACGACCAAAATGCCTAATTTATTAAGATTGTAATGTAATATTTAAGTAATTTAATTTTTAATACCGATAAATAAAGCCTTCTCTATCAACTCTAGACTTGAATTTATATTTTAACATGTTTTGACGACATTTGAATACCTAAATTTGCGATACCACGTGGATATTATAGTAGGTTGTAGCGTGAAATGGTGATGTTTAAGTACGTATGGGTTAGTACCAAAGAAAAGGCTGATATTGCAGTAGGTAGAGATGAGAGAGAAGCTAAATACTACGATTTTAGAGGACAAACATGTACATACAAACAAATACGATCATGTTAAGGATGATATTATTGCTTTTAATGGTAAAACTGGCTGGTCCAACGTTACAGTACGCTTTAATCACTGATAGTTACTATGTAGACAGTCAGAATGGGGATATCAATCTCTTGAATACGTAAGTTGATACTACTTTTACACCTGCCCCTACCCCCTACCCTCTACTGTTCCTAGGTCTACCGTACTCTGACCCGGTATCTACCGTATTTTTTTGCGTTTACTGTATTTTTACCTTATTTTAGGTACTAGTATGTACTGTATCTAGTACGACGTTGAAAATACAGTATCATTTTACGAAAAATGTTATATGTCATACCTTTTCAGATGCGTCGGAACCTACTGCATGGACCACGCCGGCTGCCAACTCTGTAACTTTCCCCCCAACTGCACCTACGGCCAAGACGTCCAAATCAATTGTTCGGCCAATTCGATCTGCTTAAGCCCTACCAGTGCCAAACTCATGGCCAAGTGTCGCTTCTGTTGGCAAATCGACCAAGATGAACAGGACTGCGAAGAGACCAAACACTGCATGTCGTGGGACACTAGGCCGGTCAGGACGGCGTGCAGGGCTAAACCCACCGTCTATTGTATGGGGAGACGGACGTTCTTTAAGAATGTTAGGTAAGAAGGGGGGGGGGGTAGGGGTACGTAGTATGAGTAGACGTTGGTCGTATTGATAGGGTAGGGACAGGAGTAGGTAGGAAGGGTATGGGTTGGAGTTAGGGCACGGGTTATCACAAAGCTTGCAATAGAGTAGGTTGGGTAGAAGTATGAGTAAAGTTAGGGGCATGGACAAGAGCAGGGTTTGTGGTAGTAGGGGCAGGTTGGAGGTAGATGCAGGGGTAAGGGTAAAGGTAGGGGTACATTTTAAACCTACAAATCGATTTTCAAGATTAAAATTAGTTTTTTGGGTTAGTAACTGAAGTTTTTAGGCTAAAAAATGTGGCTTTGAAGCTGGAAAATATAGGTTGTAAGCCTAAAAACGTATTTTTAAGTCAACAACTTGATTGATGCAGGGACGTCGCTACGATTTTTCTCTGGGGGGGGGGAGACCCAAAAAAATTTTTTAACGCTTAAATGAGTTCTTCAAGACTAAAAAGTCAATTGCTTTTTACGCTTTTAAATAAATTTTTGGGTTATTAAACAGCGTTTCTCAGCTAAAACTCTGGTTTGTAAGTTTAACAACTTTGTTTCAAGCCTGAATTTAGGTATTTGAATTAAGAACTTGTGTTTTTAAGCCAAAAGTTTCAGTTTTTAAACTTCAAAACCTACTATTCAAGCCTAAAACTGTATTTTTTTAAACTTACTTGTTTTTAAATTCCAGATGTCGCTGGACAAACGGCTACAGCTGGTCGAAAACCCTCTTCTTATCGATAACATTGGGCGGTTTTGGAGCCGACCGCTTTTACCTAGGTCTATGGAAGAGTGCCATCGGAAAGTTGTTTAGCTTTGGAGGCTTGGGCGTATGGACACTAATCGATATTATCCTTATCGCCGTTGGCTATGTCGGACCGGCTGATGGGTCAGAGTATATTTGAGGAGTGTATGAGCGTATCTTTGCTTATTTTAGGTTAATTCTTACTTGAGAACGCATTAAAATGTAGTTTTTTCACGTAGAAAAGTTGTTAAAATAGTAGTTGGAGTAAAAACACTAAAAACCTATGCTAATATAAGCAGAAACAGCTTTTTTTTGATGAATTTAGGTAATATTTTTACTTTTTCTTGAGGAAATCTTTAATTATGACATTGTATATAGCCTTTTATTTGTTTTTTTTTCTGTTATGTTGTCCTACTCAATTCGATTATTCTGGGTATTTGTTTGATCTCTTTTTTGAGTTTTTTAAATTTTTTTGCACTGTGCAAGCTTTAAAAAGTATAATTTTTAAGGCGCTAGGACAAATGCGGTTTTTGGACGTTTGCGGATCTTCGGTTTTTGGACACTTGCGGATTTTGTACATTGCGGATTTTTTAAAGGGGTTTTCTTTATTTTTTATTTAATTTAGTTTTAGTATGGTACTAAATGGTACTAAAGTTTAAATTGGCACTGTCTTAATATTTCTTAATGTTAAATAGTACTAAATTTTTAATCGGTACTGTTTTTATATTTTTGGTACTAAATAGTACTAAAAGCCCAAAAAGGTACTGTTATGTTAAAACCGTACCAATTCAAACTTTAGTACAATTTAGTACCATAATACAACTAAATTAACTAAAAAATAAAAAAAAACCTTTAAAAAATCCGCAAATGTCCAAAAACCGCATTTGTCCTAGCGCCATTTTTAAATTAATTTTTTTAGTGTTTTTATCAATAAATAATATTAAAATTTCGAAGATTGTTATTCAAGACCGCTTTTAATTAACAGTTCACTTTTGCAGGCTGCGTTTACCAATTCATACGATGAAAGGCGTGTAAAAGTGGATTTAGAGGATACAAGGGAGGAGTGAAAAATATAATTTTTTTCTACAAAATAAGTTGACGTCATGCAAGGTAGGGTAGCTTAGGGTAAGGTAGGTATGAGGAACGGACCGCACCAAATTTTTAGGCCCGGTTCGTTCTTCTTGTCTAGAGCAGGGTGTTGTAGGTAAGGAAGGATAGGGTAAGGTAAGGTAACATACTTTAGAGTAGGGTAGGTAATGGCTGAGTTGGGTAGGGTAAAGTAGGGTAGGGTATTGTATAATAAAAAATAAAATTTTTTCTCTGATAAAATGGCAGTAAAATCATTATTTTTCGCATTTTTAGGTCAAATTTTACCTTTTTCGCGCGAAAATTTTTATATTTTGATAAGAAATGACATTGCAAATATCATGGGTGTTAAGAGATCTTCCACTTTTCGGCGCCGAATCTTTTACAATTTTGTTTTACTGTTTGTTATTGGTATCTTTATATTGTTTATCAAAAGGAATTTGACTGTTTCTTATAAACATCATAATGAAAATGGCAGTGTTTCCAAAAATAGTGGCAGTAATAGGCTTGGAGAGCTGAAACAAGTGAGGATATTACCGGTTGGGGGTAGGTATTGACTGGTCTTGGACAAAAAGTTTGTTGAAAACTTAATTTTTTTATCATTTTTGGTCAAAAAGTTTATAGAAAAGTCTATTTTTTATTGGTATTTGGTCGGAAAGCTTATAGAAAAGTTAATTTCTTAGCTTATTTTGGTTTAAAAGTGTATAGAAAAGACGTTTTTTACAGTCTTGGTCAAAAAATTTATAGAAAAGTTGATTTTTTGCTTGTTTTTGGTCAAAAAGTTCATGGATAAGTCTATTTTCTTGCCGATTTTGATCTAAAAGTTCATAGAAAAGTTGTTTTTTGAACCGATATTGGTCGAAAAGTTTGTAGAAAAGTAAATTTTCGAAATGTTTCGGTCAAAAAATTTGTAGAAAAAACCATTCTTAGCTTTTTTTGATTAAAAAGTCTGTAGAAAAACTAATATTATTATTGATTTAGGTCAAAAAGTTTCAAGAAAAGTATATTTTTTTATCGATCTTGGTCAAAAAGGTTATGGAAAAGTCGTTTTTTGAATCGATGTTGCTCCGAAAGTTAGTAGAAAAGACAATTTTTTTACTGATTTTAATCTAAAGTTTATAGAAAAGACAATTTTTTATCGCTCTCGGTCAAAAAGTTTCTAGAATTTCAATTTTAAATCGTTTTTTTGTTATAAGGTCTGCAAAAAAACGGTGTTTCTGAGCTTTTCCGGTCAAAAAGTCCATAGAACACCAATTTTTAAGCTTTTTGTTTAACTTTAAAATATTTTTTTTAATTTAAAAATTTAAAATTTTTTAAAATCGACAGTCTCTTCAGGTTCCGACGTTATTTTCGATCAACCATGGTCGATAACGGAAGTGAAAGTTCATAAATCGGTTGAAAACGCTGTCAATATTAACAAAACTCAACGTTACATTGTTAGTACGATGAGTTATAGTCATGGTAAGAATTGCAATATAATTTTTAAAATTCAAAATTTTTTTTTTTAATTTAATTATTTTTCGAAATTTTTTAATTATTTTTTAAAATTTTTGAAATTAAAATTTTTTTTTTTAAAATTTGTACTGCTTACCTCTAGTCGACGTATTTTACATCAAAACCTTCAGGCTTAGGAAACCAGATGTTCGAGTACGCAGCTCTACAGTACTATGCTATGAAACATGGTGCTATATTACTCTTTCCTTCTGATTGCTTGCTTCGAAGGGCCTTCAAAGCCTTACAGTATGTTGAGTACGTAGAAGCTGACGAGCTGTACGATTATGTGGAGAGGAATTCTGAATCTCATATAGAAGCCAAGGTGAGTTGGGGTAAGGGTAGGGCAGGGGCGAGCAAGACCAAATCAAAGATAGGGTAAGGCCTGGAAAACGATGTATGGTAGGGTAGGGTAAGGTAGGGTAGGGTAGGGTAGGGTAGGGTAGGGTAGTTACTTATATTGTCTTTCCAGGCTTGTTGTTCATACCTTCCAGACCTGCCACTTCCAGATCGAGTCAGTATAGTTGATGGTTATTTCCAATCATATCGATATTTTTGGCCTAGCTTTGATGGTGAAATTCGAAAATCTTTTCAATTTTTAAATGGCGTTAGAGAAAGAGCTGTTAATGTCATCAAGACGTATAGTAATGGTACGGTTTATACTGCCAACCTATATAGTAATGTCATCAAAAGTAGCCAGAAATCCTAAAAAAAGTGGTTAAAAATAGCTTTTATCGTATAACTTGTCACCTGCAGGCTGCAAATACACAAGTTTTAAGTTTTAAAAAATAAAAATGGCAAGAACTTTCTTTACAACACAAAAAATGGCAAGAACTTTCTTTACAAAACAAAAAATTGCAAGAACTTTCTTTACAAAACAAAAAATGGCAAGAACTTGCTTTACAAAACAAAAAATGGCAAGAACTTTCTTTACAACACAAAAAATGGCAAGAACTTTCTTTACAAAACAAAAAATTGCAAGAACTTTCTTTACAAAACAAAAAATGGCAAGAACTTTCTTTACAAAACAAAAAATGGCAAGAACTTTCTTTACAAAACAAAAAATTGCAAGAACTTTCTTTACAAAACAAAAAATGGCAAGAACTTTCTTTACAACACAAAAAATGGCAAGAACTTTCTTTACAAAATAAAAAATGGCAAGAACTTTCTTTACAAAACAAAAAATGGCAAGAACTTTCTTTACAAATGGAAATATGGCAAAAACTTTCTTTACAAACTGTAAAATTTGTTTTTTTTTCTATTTTAGTCTGGCCAAATGCTCACTTTTTCAGGCCGAACCACAGTCGGAGTGCATGTTAGACACGGGGTTGATATCACCTGGCATTCGCGAAACCTACAGCACGGCCATCTGAGTGCACCGGTCGATTATTACCAACGTGCCTTCAGTACAATCGAAGAACAGTACGGACAGGTGGTATACCTGGTAGTTAGCGACAATATCAGCTGGGCCAAGAGGAATCTGCCAGACGGGAATCGTGAGTGCCCTGCCCTTGCCCTGCCATACTCTATCCTACCCTACCCTACCCTACCCTACCCTACCCTACCCTACCCTACCCTACCCTACCTTACCCCACCCTACCCTACCCTACCCTACCCTACCCTACCTTACCCTACCCTACTTTACGCAACCCTACCCTACCTTTCCTTATCTTACAGTAATCTTACCCTACCCCGTAAAAAGCCCTGTTCTACCCTACCCAACTTTTTTTTGTGAACCAGTCGTCTTTAAAATACATTTCTTTCCAGGTACTCTCTACTTCATCGAAAACACTGACCGTGAAGTCGACCTAGCCATCTTATCATACTGTAATCATACGATAATATCAACTGGCACATTCTCATGGTGGGGTGCCTATCTAGCCAATGGTACCACTTTGTACTACAAAGATTGGCCCAAAAAAGGGTCACAATTGGAGAAAATGGTCGATAAACGGTCGTATTTTATACCGACTTGGAAGGAACTTTAATTCCAGATTAAACTTTGTTTCCAGTTTGGAAGAAACTTTATTTCCAGTCTGGAAGAAAGTTTTTTTCCAGTCAGGAAGAAACTTTGTTTCCAATTTGGAAGAAACTAATTCCATTGTCTGCCATTTGTAAATAAACAAATAAATTAGGTATGTCGCAAAAAACTACTGTCTGTAAACAACAATGTAAAAGTCATAAAATATGCAAATGACTTATGAATTGACATACTTGATTTGATTAACTTTCATAATTTTTTTTTAATTACAAGGAAAATACCCTACCTGCCCCGCACAGAATCAGCTCAAAATTTTTATATGAGTGTTTTGTACTACCAATAGTACCCATAAAAAATATTAGCTCGCGCTTTTGATTTTTAAATTTAAATTATTTGGGTTTCCCGCCAATTTGGCAAGTTTGGCATTGTGTTTCAAGCACTTTTTTCGACTTTCCACTCATGCAACACTTACAAATTTAAAAATGTAGGTTCATTTAAAAGTATTCTACCTATATATTGAAGAAAAATGATTAAAGGTCAAAAAATGACAAAGCTACAAGCTTGAAACACAATGCCAAGTTGGCGGAAAATTCAAAACGTAATTTTTTGATCTCGATTTTTTCGAGATTTCCTGGAAAGCGCGATTTAATACTTTGCTGAAGATCTTATATTTCCATGATCTTTCAGTATAAAAATTTTGAAGTCGATCAGAGCGGGGCAGGTCGGGCACAAGAACCGATTACTTTAGGCGCAGGTAGCGAAAACCTGAAGGTGAATCACAATAGTATATTGTGATAGGATTGAGGGTTAGATAGAATAGAATATGATATTGACTTATCGTAGGTTTGTAGGTTAAAGCAAGGCTTACTGTACGGTAGGATTAGACATAGTGTGTAGAGTATGGTAAGTTAGGAAACGATATGTTAAAGATGGTAATTCAGGGAAACGCAAGAGTAGGGCAATGATAAAGCAAAGGCAACGGTAGAACAAGCGTAAGGCTGATTAGGGTAAAGGTAGGGCAAGGTTACGGCAAGAGCAAGTTAGAGTAGAGTACGCGAAGATAAAGCAGGGCAAGGGTAAGTTAGAGTGAGGCAATGTTAGGGGTAGGATTAAGGTAGGCACAGGCAAGGCACAGGCAAGGCAAGGCACAAGCAAGGCACACACAATTTTAGTGTCATTCCCAATTTTTTTCAAACGAAAAATACTGCCAAAACATAACAAATCATACTAACTGTTATTACATTAAATGTCGTAAATAACATTGAACAAATAAATTAGGTAACACCGTGATTTAACGTCGTTTCCTTCGCCCAAATCGGATAAAATCGTATTTTTCGGCTTTCTTATCAGCTGTTTGGGCTTGTTCGGAGCGTCGTATCCGTAACATTTGGGGGTAGTCCTTACTGGAGTAGCCTGAAAATAATTTATATTAACATAAAGTTTCAAAAAAAGTGTATTATATAATGGCATTTTTAGTGGAATTAAAGTTTTTGCGGTTTTTTTTGCTTTTTGAGAAGGAAAGGTGAGATTAGGGTAGATTAGGGCAGGTTAGGGTGAGGTAAGTTACAATAGGGTAGGGTAAGAGAAAGTACGATAGGATAGGGTAAGGTATGGTCGGGTAGGGCCGGGCAAGACCGAGGCTGTGGAGGGTTTGGTAGTAGGGCATGGGAGTAAAAAGGTAAGGATAAGGTGGAATGAAAAGCAGAAGAAAATTTCTCGACCGGTCGATTTTTTATAAAAATTTTTTTAATTTTCATCTTGATAAACTATATTAAATAGTGTCATTTTACTCTTATATTAAACGTGAAAAAAAATTATCGACCGATCGATTTTTTAAAAAAATATTTTTTGTGTTTCAGAACGATAAGCTGAAAGAAAGTGCCATTTTAGACTTATATTAGATGTATAATAGACAGTTTTAAAATTTTTAGTAAATTTTTTTACTGTAAAGAAAGTTCACGCCCTTTACAAAATCTAATAAATTTTTAAAAACTTTCATAGCATTACTTAGAAGCGCTTTAAGCCCCAAATTGTAATAACCTTAAGTGCTTATGGGCCTTCAAGTCAGCTGTCTAATATGGTCGTATAACGACTTCTCAGAACTTTTCGTTTTTTGTCGTTTTTAGGTCATAAAACGACGTTTTTTGCGTTTTATGGTCGATAAATGAATTTTGTTCGTCAGAAAAGTTTCGACCGTAAAATTGTACTTTAAGATGGTAATTCAAAGATTAGACTATAGCATAATGTGTTTTTACTGTGATATAGCATAACGGTATCTTTACCGTACCCTATTTCACTCTACCCTACCCTACCCTACCCTACCCTACCCTACCCTACTCTACCCTTGCCTGTGCCTGTGCCTGTGCCTTGCCTTGCCTTGCCTGTGCCTTGCCTGTGCCTTGCCTGTGCCTTGCCTAGCATAGCCCTGCCCTGTTCTTTCTTACCCTAATCTATCTTATTCTCCCTTGCCCTATCCTACCCTACTTTATATCATACTGCGCCTTGTCCTTCTTTGCCCTGCCGTACTCTTCCTTACGTCCTATGTTGTCTTAATATTCTACTATACCTCACTTTATTCCCCAATAACCCAACCATACCCCATAATAACACCCCTTGTTTCAATTTCAACCAATTTATTACTGTATTCCCCACCTTTTCCTACAATTTTGCATATATTCATAAAGTCATTGTAAAGTTACAGCACTTTAAAACTGTCATACAAAGATCCCTCCCTGACCCATTAGCACAATATTAAAAATGAGTGCGAATGTTGAAATTGTACAAAACATGTTGACACAAACAAACCCATAATACGTTGCACTCTTATTTCTACAACTTTTGCTGTTTTTACGAACAGTTTTTTTGTTTTTGGCATAGTAAAATAGGTAATAAAAAGTCGTTTTGAGATTAAAATTAGAGTTTATAGGGGTTTTAAAGGGCAGAAATGACTATTATTGACATACTTTTGGTCGTATAACATGTCACTTTTCACACATAATGTAATCATGTATCTAGGGCTGAATGGTAGGGTGGGGCAGAGCCCACCCCAAATTTTTTTTCGCAAAAAAAGTTAAACTTGGTCTTCCTGTAAACAGTTTTTTTTAAATGTCTAAACATAGCCCTATCCCTAGTCAAGCCCATTTTTTAGCCGCAGCTCTTGTCCTAGCCTAAGCAATAGCTTAAGTCCTAATCTTGGCTCCAGCATGAGCCCTAGTCTAAGCTCAAACTTAGCCTAATCGTTAGCCTTAACCTAAGCCTAAGCTTAAGCCTTAACCTAAGCCTTAACCTAAGCTTAAGCCTAATGTTAACCCTAAGCCTAAGCTTAAGACTAAGCCTAAGCTTAAGCCTAAGCCTAAGCCTAAGCCTAAGTCTAAGCCTAAGCCTAAGCCTAAGCCTAAGCCTAAACCTAAACCTAAGCCTATGCCTAAGCCTAAGTCTATGCCTAAGCCTAAGTCTGAGCCTCAGTCTAAGCTCCAGCCTAATTCTTGCCTTTGCCTATACCCCTACTCCTACGCTTCACCGTAATTCTAAATGTAAGCTTTAGGCAATGTTTACAAACGTCAGAACCTTTGAAACTTCCGTGTTACTACCTAAACAATCAAATTGTATTATTGTGTTTCCAATACCAGACGGTAAAACCAATGTGCTGTCGGTTATTGTAAAAAGTAATGACATTTTGAGTTTTATTACGATTTCAGTAACCGAAAACAGCTGGCCTACTACGAATAATCTAGTATTTGTAATTGCTGGAATAGGGAAGCGGGCTTTCGTATTCAGAATAATGACAAACACTTAAGACATTGTCTTATTTATGATTATGAGGAGGAGGGGGGGGGGTGTGTTTTTATTCGGTAAGAGTCAAACTATAGCAACATATAAAGTAAGGGAAGGCAAAGTACTGTAGGGCAAGGTAGGATAGAGTAAGGTAAGTTACAATATGCTAGAGCTACAGCTAGGGTTCTAGGTTATGGCTTAAACCATAGCTTAGGCTACGGCTGAGGTTACAGCTCAGGCTATGGTTTAAGCTGTGGCTCTGGGCTAGGGCTCTGAGCTAGGGCTCTAGGCGAGGGCTTTGGGCTAAGGCTCTGGGCTAGGGCTCTGGGCTAGGGCTAAGTAAGAAAAATGTATTTTTAAATTTTTTTATAGTATGCTTATCAAAAAATGTCGTATTGGTCTCATATTAGCTTTGTATTGGTCATTTTTCCAGAAATAAAAACAAAACTTGACCAAGACTGCTAAGTAACTAAATTAACATGTCCCGTTATGGTCCATTAACTTTGTTTTTTTGCAAAAATAACACTTTTGACTACTTTTTACAGCTAAGGCTACAAAAACAACTTTATGCCCGTTATCATGAACAAGTGTTTTAAGCTGAAACAGCCTAAACTACTAAAGAATGTTACATTATTCAAAACAAACAGATACCTAAAACTTCAAGTGTTCATATCTCTGCCATTTCTTATTAAAACCAACTCAGAATTTGTATTTAAACTACTCTGAACCATCTTAACTTACAACCCAAGTTTCCAGTTTCAAAATTCAATTTTATTTTTTGAATTTTTATTTTTCCGCCAGTTTTGGCATTCCGTTTCATTTGACTTTTTGGCTTCGAAACAATACAAAAACACTTGAAATTGTTAAAAGTAGTGTTGAAAAACTGTTCTTTGTGCTAAAACATATACTTTTTAGGATTAAAAGGTTGTACATACATCAAGATGTACATATTATGATAATAATATCATGAAGCTTCGATATTATTATTGTCTGGATGGAAACCTTTGTTTATCGCATAGAAAATGTTTTCCTAGTCTATGCTATAGGTTATATGAGCAAAATTAATATCACATCATGTCTGTAATGAGTTTGATAGGCTATATTTATACGTTTGGACGATTTGTGGAGGTATGATATTTTTGATGATATTACTGTAATTTAACAAAATTTAACAAAAATGTTCATAACACTTAAAAAAACATAAAAGTAGCTACCAAAACCAAAAATTTAAAA